TTCCCCAAGTTCAACTGAAACCGAAGTAATTTAAGGCTTTCAGTACAACAGTGGTAGGTTAGGGGTCCAAGAATGAAATCTGCTGCTGCCATCCCAAATAGAACAAGCAGAAGAGATAGCAATGCTAAAATAGTTTGAACTTAATCACACATTTTCCAGGCAAAGAGAACCCATCACCATGACTTTAAAGTCATATTCTGAAAGCCATCATGCTTATTGCTCTTATGTAGGGGCGTTCCTACTAGAACACATAACCTGCATCTTTGCCAACAACAGCCAGACCTTTTAGAACAAAATAGTTCAAATAGCATTAATTAATATAACAGGTGTTTGGGCTTTTTTGTAGCTACTGTGAGCATGGGAATAATTGATGCTGTTATACACCTGATAGTAAATGAAGAACAATTACCGAAGAGGGAGATATTTAAAGGACCTCTTCACTACCCATTAAAAGCTAACTCAGCAAGTTGACAGTAATAATGATTAAGATTTTGAACACAGCCACAGAAAACAATACAGTCTTCATGACAGTCATTATATAGCCAACTGATAAACATGGCATCTAATAACTAGAAATACAAGAACTTAAACATTGCTATACACAAGATACAGAGCATGACAGCCAGTACACTTGAGTAGCACAATTAGCTGAATCAACTCCACAATGACTGAAATCTGTACTCAGTATTAACAATTAGACAAAGGAAAACAATCTTCCCAATGCTACATACTGCCATGAGAACCATAGTGGGTCATGCTCTGAAGTTCTGTGACAGCAAAGCCTTCCTTGCACACGAATGCAGCTCTAAGTATCCCCGTATATATTGGCCCACAAGGACACATTCAACTCTTCCTGGGTGTCAGGAAATACTCATGTCCTCTTGCTTCCATTCTCAATAATGCTAATAGAGCCTTTTTGATAGCAATGGGGGGGGGCAGAATAATTCTGGGGAGACTATCTGGACATCTGAAGTAGGATGTTAAAAAACTCAAATCCTTAAACTGACAGTTAGCTTGCATATACTGCTGTTGTTTTGTCTTTGCCAAATGGAAGATACTTCAAAATCATTGGAAAAATGGGGTTAAAATTTTGCACAAGCACTTCAATTATTACCTGGCTCACATTAACCATCAACTAGGCTAACATAACAAACAATTCTTGTTACTCAAACTGGCGTCATTGTAATGAGCTCCAAATTAATCTCATCCGTACACAATCACTAATCTTGTTTTGTGCCAACTGAATTTTTAATCAGAACAGAGTGAATCATAGGTTGTTTTTAAAATACATTTCTAATACTTGTCATCCAAAATGAATAAACACTAAAGCAGGGAAGAACTTTTCTATTTACACTTTCAGAACCTCATTTTGTTTATGCACACTATCCACAGAAGTATCAAATGCATATAATAGGTGAGGTCATTTTTAATGAAAATACAAACTAAAAACGTTTATTTCTAATAGTGCTTTGAGCATGAATAGCATCACCAACCTGAAAAATGTAGTCCTCTGACTGTAATTAAAACTGTATGACAAACCGAATTAAAAGGAACAGTTACCCCTCTGTTGAGCTGCTCATCAATTTCTACATCATTCTAGAAGATCAAAATACACATAATCAGACTCTGCAACCAGCAGAGTAACTACTTCTGATAAGGCATGTAATGAAGCACATATTTTGCAGTGCTGAACTTGAGACTCAACCTCAGTTTCAAACCAAAGTGACTTTAATATTTGTGTGAGACAGAGGCAAAGGTGAGTTCCAACAAGCATTTTCAAATTGATTCTGCAACTGCAATACCTATTTAACAAAGCAGTTGAATAGCTCTGCTTATAACAAGAGTGCTCAATATATCACCCCACTGCTCAACCATTCAGGAATTCTTTGGAAAAAAAAGATAGTATGAAGTCATCACCTACACCCTCTACTTTTTAAAATGCATTATTTCTGGAATCTTGCTTTAGCTGTCTGGTTAACAGCTGCTTAACTGAACACCTGTTACTCAGCTTAGATGAAAACCTAACTTGAAGGTCTGCTCACGGCCATGAAAACCAAAGGAGTGACTGCAGCAATCTGCAGCACAACCATTAAAATGTCTTCAGGGAGGTCTACTGACAGCCTCTATTACAGCCACACGAGCTTGAGGAATCTGGAGTACCTGGTTCTCATTTCAAGCTCAGCATAACGCTTGACTCAAGCCACGTAACAGCATGTGATGACTTCTGCATGGAAAACAAGACACTCAGGCAGATGAGAGCAGTGCAGGAAGGCTCAATGTCAGAATTCCCACAGATCTGGCGGCACATATTTATTACTTAGAGACTGTGCTCCTCATTTAATACCATCTACGTGCTTTTGTGAATGGTAAATTCTGTTTTGACTGCCAGGAAGGAAAAGTATTTGAAGATTGCTCAAGATGAAGAGTATTAAATTACACTCAATGTGCTAATCTACTTTTACATATAGTCAGTAGAAATATATGTTAACACATTAAAATATTCTGCTAATATCTTAGAATTCAATTATCTTCATTAAACAGCTCTAAGATCCATGGAAAAAAGTTATTTGTTCAAATATTTAGCATAATACGCAAGTTATTGTTAATGTAACATTCTGAAGAAAAGCTCTGCAAGACATGTTGAACATTAAAAGGTGAATGCAAAAGCAAAAATACACCATATACACCCTAGCTGCAAGGTGGAGATAACTTGCTCTGATAACATCAGGACCGACTGCAGAGGAAGGACCAAGGATGTTACCAAAAAAGGTTACATTTACATAGTGAATACTATAGCAAGACATAATGACCAAAAGAAAGCTGTTGGCTTGCAAATTTGTTTGTTTTTTTTTTTTTGTTTGTTTGTTTGTTTGTTTTTGTTTGTTTGTTTGGGTTTTTTTTTTTGTTTGTTTTTAATTAATTTTAAAATAGGCTGGTTAATATCAGGGAATAAATGGCTCTTCAAGCCGCTTTCCAAGAAACAGGATGGGAAGTTTGTTCTGTGCTTAGACAGAAGAAAAGCAATGCTTCCAAAAGAAGTATCATTAATGAACAATGTAAGAAAAAGAAAAATAAGGATGTTTTTATACTTGCAGGTTTCCCTGTGGATCACTACTGTTACTGACTTTTTTTCATGTGAGAAATATGGCACCACATCACACTCCATCTGAACACTATTTCTGCAAGATGCCCCATATTATCTTTATTAAATATATCATTTCCTATTTGTTACTAATTTCAGCTCTCCAGAACATTAAAAAATGCCTTTCCTTTAACATCAATTGTAGAAAGTGGTCGCCAGTGTGAATACTTCTCAGGAGGTTGTAAGATAGTGAAAAAATAAAACAGGAAAAAGGGGAAAATAGGAGAACTGGTAAATAAAACAGTGTGAAAACAATTCTAGAATTGTCATATAAAGTAAAACCTTTTCTAAAAATGACCCTAACAAAATCGCCATTCAGGAGCACCATGTCTCCTTTACAAAGGAGTTTGTGATTTTAACAGGAAAGTGGTTGGGGGGAAGCAAAGAAATAAGACATTCACCATTCGGAAAATTCTGTTAGGTATGCTAAAAATAATTATTAAAACCAGTATCTTAAAGTTCTTTTAAGATTGTGTAGTTTTTCAATATAACTTAAAATGAAGTGAGTAAAGCTAGAAATAAAAAAACAACACATATGAAGGACATGCTCAATTCTGTGGCCATTGCCTCACGTTCTGCTCCCATGACATCTGTACCCCAAAACTGAATAGCACAATATGACAGCCTCTGACTTACTTTACGGAGCCCCCATAGCTGATGAAATTACTCAGCTGCACTGGAGGCATGCTGATAAAGCACGAGAGGCTGCAGAAGAGGACTATGCAAAGAGCCTCTCCCCTAGCAAGGCTCTACACCAGGAGAAGTTCAATTCCCAGGTGCCTGTTTGTGCCAATGATTTCCATATAACCTTACAGGTAGCCTATAAAATAAAATATATTTAACATGTCATTTGCTTTTTGGGTCAACTTTCTAATAAAAGCTGAAAATTTTGAGGAAAAAAATAAATGAGATCATGACATACAATGTGGGCGACCAAACAAGAACTACAGTAGAGTTCTCTGGCAAAGGCATACTTTTCTGACACAGCCACCAAACTCTGCACCATAACTACAGGCACTGGACACTTACTAGAAAAAATATGCCGAAACCCTACTGACAAACAATACTGTCAACCCAGAAACAAGAGGATGGTGCTCAAAGAGAGGGGGAGAGTAAAAGAGAAAATCACTCTGGGTTTCAAAACACCTTAATATGGCTTTAGTTAACTACTAGTAGCTTCTGAGAGGGAGAAGTATTTTAAAAGCATAACCACTGTTAGCTTCTTCAAACAAGGCTTTACTACTTGAGGCTAATTTTGAATAGAGAACAAAATGCTTGGTTTCAGGTTGCGGTGTTTCTTCTTTCATAGTAATAAGACTGTGTTAAAAGTATTTTCTCATTAAGATAACTTTTGATCCACCTTTTAAAAGGGCATTTCTTTGTCTTTATAGTAACAGCACCACATATGAGCAGATATACTTCTTTGACACCGTAGTTTCAACAACATAAAACCTGTTTTTATCCATCCTCCTGGGAAAAAAATTGACATCCCTACACAACATTATGCCACTTTTTCTGGAACTAAATGTTTTTTAAAAACACAATTGAGCAATCCTTTTTGCTGAAACAGATCTTTTAAAATAGACAGATATTAAAAAGACATCTTTTTAAGGACAATCTGAATAGTTATTGTAAACGTCATCTTGTCACTACTAAAATATTTAAAACCACCACTACATTTATGGATTCAAACTTAAATCACATTAGAAGACAAAGTGTTTATACTCACATGACACTGAGATAAAAGCTTTTTTATTTTCTTTAGTCTGCTTGTTAGCAAATTCTTATTGCTGAAGCTATTCTAAAAAAGCCAGGTCTCTTTGCATGGTATAAGGTTCTCAAACAGTGAAGTACTTACATGCAAGGCAGAAGGATCTGGCAAAAATTCAGCATCCTCTCCAAAGATAAAATCTGGTGGTAGGTCAGGATAATGAGCATTGAAAATTATATCCCCTGAAAAGTAATAAATGAAAACACAGTTTGCACTTTTATGTATGTGATTATAAATAAATAAATTAAATACTGTACACATGATACACATTTTTAATATAAAATTTGATAGCTACATTAAATATACTTCATGTATATATACATATAATTTTTTACAAAAATTCACATGCAAGATAAGCATCAGATGTTTTGGGGGATGAAGTCAAATTCCCAAGGCACAGCTTCTTCCTCCTCTGCAAGCAATGATACATGAAATACATTATTGCTTCATATCTCAAATGGCAATTCAAACACTATTGAGGGTTGCCTCAAAACACCAAGTCTGAAAAGGGATCTTGCTTTAAAAAAAGTACCACATTTAGACTGCTATGTTTTGCATATGAAGTCAAAGTCAAATGTGAACGACCAAGATCAGGATTTTTGAAATACTGGAGCTTTTAAAACCTAGTAGCACTTACTCCTTCTCCTCACTACCTGCAACTCTTAAAAGGAAGAATACACAGTTTAATAGCAACCATTCCAATTATCCAAATTCTGGCCAAGAAAAATGCAGTATTATGCATTTAAATAGGGATACTAAAATTAACTTAAAATATAAAACTTCATCACAATTTGGCACTGAGTCCTCATCTTGCCAGTGTCACAAGATGCACAATTAGTTACTGATGTGACAGTTCAAAAAAATTTGGGTTATATTATTTCACTAGTAAACATACTTTGGAGTTTATATAGGTCAAGAGGCGGTCATCTGCATGTGAGCTCTTAAAGAAACACCCTCAATTCAAGAAAAAAAATGCATCTAGCATTACTTCTCTACCTCCTAATCACTCCTTCCTTTTTATGAAGAATAACTCCGAGCTTTTGCATGAAGTAAATTTGAGAGGTAGTAGGCATTAGAATAAAGAAGTCGGTACGTACTATGTGTTACCACTTGTTTAAAATCTACACAGAAAAGTAAAACCAGTGTGGTAAGCCTTATAAACAACTCTGTTCAGAGAAAGTTGAACCACTTTTTTTTTCAAAAATTATAAATGGAGATTTGGTGAAAACCATTAGCTGAACATATCTTACAAAGCCACATTGCTGGCTCAGCGATGTCACCATCTCAAGACATTCAACATGACAGTTTTAATTGCACATATTCGGTAAACTTATCTTGGCTCTAGCTGGAAGCAAGGATGCTGTAAAGATTAATTTAGAGGATGAAGGCTCATGACCAAGAAGCCAATGGGCAGCTGGGGGTATGTATGCACTACAGTATCACTCCAAATCAAGAATTCACCAATCATGCGACTCAGTAGAGGACAGTGTGGGCTTCTCCTGTCTGCACTTGACCTTCCTTTGCCAAATGTCAGGAGCACGTGTAAGCGTGGGGTACAAGAAAGAGTAGAGGTCTGCCAGTTAAAATATCCAACATAGTCAACATAAAATAAATCTTTTATTTCATTTAAAAGAAGAACAAAATAGGCACCAATCCTATTCTAGAGGAAATTGCATGAAATTCCTACAGAAAATGTACCTATATTAAGTAAGACAAAATAATTACTAGAATGCCTAAATGGTAATACAGCAATGAAGAATTCTGAAAAGTTTATGTTTTACAAGACTGGATAGTTCCTATGTCACCGGAACTAACCCTTTTCTTCAAATTTACTACAGTTAAAAAGTCATGCACGGCTCCTTACAACAACCTCATCAATTTCTACATACAGAGCAGGCAACTCCCGAGGTTATGTGTTGAAGGAGATAGCACCTTAATACGTTCTCTGACTGAGCTTTGCTTCATAGATAGAGGTGTATTATGAATAACTCAGAACACAGCACAATGAAATAGCTTGGCTTGTAACTTTGGTAGCCCAATGCTACTCTGAAGGAAAGAAGTGTATCTGTTTTTCCCATGTTCTTGTGTGATGCTAAGTCACAGATTTAACACACACTTTTCATATTGCAGTCACTAGTTGCATGCTTTTATTCTCTGCATTCCTGCTTTAACAGAGTTGAGGAAACACGAGTACAAATAGCTACAGCTCAGCTCAGTAAGAGCTGCACTTCAACTACATAGATACTTCAAAAGGCTTCTTAGAATAGAAGAAGGATCAAAGTAACTGCACGTTTAATGTTTTACCTCCATATTTGATTAGCAAAAAAATATTACAGAACCTCAGCATCATGAGGTGGCTCCAAGACTCTGCTTAGAGTAGTAAGATTGGCAATAAACTGTACTGACTTTTGCAAGCTCCGCAGTAATGGGTGAACCTCAGGAAAGGTGTGACAGTAGGCACAATGTGAAGTTTCAGGCAGGTAAAACTCTTTTCCCCCCCCAGCGTTTTCAGTTCTACAGCAACATGAAATGAAGAGAACTCACAGCAGCTCCCAGAACATTATCATATGCATTGCTCAAGTATGACAGTAAATTAAAGTTGGCATTATTATTTTAACATGCCAGGTGGTAAAGTCTTACAACCTGGGGTTCGGGTCAGCTGCATATCCCATGCAGTGATCCCGACTGTGGGACCAGGGCCAACACCTGCGGATGGTACCCTCTTCGACCACTCTGGTGTGTTGTGTGACCACACTGAGGTCACGCATGTCACAGTTGCAGCTGGCCAATCCAATCTAGTATCTCTCTCAGATGCTCATAGTTCTTCACTACCTTCTGTCACACCCCTTCTTCCACTGAATATTAGTGGCGTATCACTCCTTATCCACAGTAACCAACTGTGCAGATATTTTGATTCAAAAAGTTTTCATGACCTACTGATATTGAAGAACTATTCAAGACAAGGGACAAAATCCAGAGTCCAAATTAACATTTTAATATTTGATTTTCTGTTATTATTACTTATAATTGCTTCTATGTGCCCAGGGTAAACATGTCTCAAATCCAAACTCCCAAGTCCCTTTAGTAAAAGTAATTTTGAGACCCCATGTATCAGTATTAAAGCCAGTGTGTATCACAAGATTATTTTTCTCTATAATATAGCTTTTTGGAAAATGACTACACAATACATGGCTGAAATGTTCTCCAGACTTCAAAATCAATAAAGCTATTATTTCAGTGCCTGTTAATCATACAATCACAAAACACTACTGCTGAGACCATACTCAAACCATTTCACAACCCCATGGAACCTCAAAAATCATGCTGTTGTCCTTATTTTCTATCTAAATCAGAAACATATAATTTATTGAATCATTAACACTCTCCTTCCTACATTACCATAGATTTTTTTAACCAAATGTAAACCCTAATTTATTTTGCTACAATCAAACCTCACCCAGGCTCGCTGACAATTAATAAAGACAAAGTTCAGAGTAAAACTGTGTTTCCACTTCAGTGTATACCGTTAGAAAAGAGCAGTGCTTCTCTATCAGCAGTGGGCTTCAGTCCACCAAATACAGCGTCTTACTATTGAAGATGATAAAATCTGACCTTAGAACAACTTTTTCACATATTTAAAAAGAAAGAAAGCATCCCCTCAGTTAAATCATACTCTAATAAGCCTCACTTCTACCATGAATCCAAAGACATTAATCTAATTGCTAAAAGGAAAGAAAAAAGAACCTTTTTTTGAAGTGTATTAAGACATTCACCTATGTGGCCCCTGGCCTCTATAACTTTTCTGCTTCATCCACTCCCCTTCTATATAGTTTCTCTGATGCCTTGCTTAATTTACCATACTAGGGCAGAAAAAGTAACACTTTTGACTCTAGAAATCTTAGGTAACAAGGAATGAGTTTGCCCTATTCACAACTATGAGCATGAGCTATTTTTGTAAGTTATATATTCTCAACAAAAATACACCATTACAAGTCAGAGGAAAGATTAAGGGAATCAATCCTAAATCTGAGTTTTATTCTTGTTAGATACCACAAACCAGAAAAATTAAAACTGCAGTTAACAGTTTGCTTGGCAGAGCTATGACGTGTAAATAAAAACCCTGCTTCTTTACATTCAGATAAAAGTTATTTTAACAATCACAACAGTCAGTCTGGTTTTACTTCACACAAATATTAACACTAGTCTTTGCAGTGATCTTACAAAATATAAGGTATTAAATATTTTGAATCGCCAGCTACCAGTTTGTCCTGGCCTGGTAGAAATATCAGGTTTTTTGACAACTACTTTATTTAATTCTTACATGATATTACCTGTGGCCTACCCTCCTTAAATATAATTGTGCTGGGGTAAAAAACATAAAATTTTCCACCAATAAAGCCATTTTGTAAAATTATTGTGCTTAGAGGTTGAGAACAGTTACTATTTTAATTTTGAAAGCAAAACCACCAAAAAAATCAATACAGTCCTGTATTCTCTCCCCTTCTTGCCTAAATGAAACAAATACCCTTTTCCTAGCATCTCCAGCCCCTGAGTATGTAGTTCCTCATGTGTTTCAACTATGCTTGCCCTTATTCCCTTGACAGAAGGCAAACCATGTGGCATTCCACAGGGCTATTGACCATGACCGTTCTACTGTAAGAACAATGCAGGCAAAACCTTCACACTCAGACCATATTTATCTCATTTCTGTAGATACACTAGTCAATAATTACTTCAGTGGAATTACATTTCTAATTAAATACTACTACAGAATTTAAAATTACTTCAATAAAGTTAAAGCCATGGAGTCAAAGATAAGTTTAGAAGAAAAAGGAGGTATTATACATCTCTTGCTTTTCATTATCCAAAAATATTACTTTCTCTCCCTTTTCTCTCCTCAGGCAAACAGCAATACATTTTAAAAAATTTTACTTTACAGGATTTCAAAGGAAAAGTTAATATGTTCCCGATAGACAAAAAAATAGAAATATTAATACTTTATCATTTATTTTAAAACACACAAACACTCTTATTTTCTCATCGATCAAAATGCATATGCAAGTCTAACGAAGTGGTAACGATTGACAACAAGCAAGATAGGTGTGACTGAAACTGAGAAATTTCTTAAATTCTTACAGTTGCTTTCCACTGGCCTATCCTATATACAGTTTTTCTTCTCCTA